TTGACCACCGCTAGTGCCATCTGGCTCTCGGCAGGGGTGGGTGTGGCGTGCGGCAGTGGGCACGTCCTCGCGTCAGCAGCGGCGACGTTACTCACGATGCTGATAAGGGCCTCGCACCGCCTGTGCATGGACCTCGAAGAGTACTGTGCGTGCTGACCTATCTGTGTGTGTGTGTGTGTGTGTGTGTGTGTGTGTGTGTGTGTGTGTGTGTGTGTGTGTGTGTGTGTGCTGTCTGCTGGGGTGTGTGAGTGTGAGGAAGAAAACTGTTCGTTTGAAAACGGTTGGCAAAAATAAAACCTGGCCACGCAGTGCATCGGCGATCGGGGACATCGGCCATCGGCAGTTCGTCTGATCGGTGGGACCGCTGTCATCGCGCGTCAACGGGACACCTTGCCTGCCACCGGGCCGCGGCCACCGCGATAGCCGTCCCGCACACCCTTGCGAGCGAATCCTCTGGGTTTTCTCAGACAAAAAGAGAGGCCAAAATAAAAAGAAAACGCGTCAGCCAGAATTAAAAGAATACGCAGCTCCAAAAGAATTCGCTCGCGCCCGTACCTGCTGCAGCCGGCGCGTGCGTTGCCTCGCTGCCCTTGACCCGATGGCCTCCCACCGCATCGGCGCGCGCGTCTCGGGCCTCTCGCGAGCGGAGCTGTGCGCCATCATCGAGGCGCAGGCGGGCGCGAGCGACGCCGCAATGCGCGTGGCGGAGGAGCACGCCGCACGGCTCGTGGAGCAGCCCGAGTGGATCCTCTCCAAGGTCCTCCTCTCGCCGGACCTCGCCCCGCACATCCTCGCCCAGCTGCCGACCAAGGCGCACGCCGTCAAGGGGACGTGCCGCGCGTGGCGCCGCGGCTGGAAGGAGACGCTGGCGAGGCGCGAGAGGCCGCGCCTGGTCGTGTTCGGCGGCCTCGACAACGGCGACGAGTTTGTCAGCTCGGTGGAGCGGTACGACCCGTCAACGAACGCGTGGGAGGAGGAAGCTGTGGCGCCGATGCCGACGGCACGAACAGATGTCCGCACGGCGGTGCTCGATGGCAAGCTCTACGCGGTGGGCGGCAAAGTTGTGGTAGACGATGAGGCCGACGACGCAACTTCCAACCTGGTGGAGCGGTACGACCTGGCCACGAAGTCGTGGGAGGCGGTGGCGCCGATGGAAGAGGCGCGGTATGACCACGCCGTCGCGGTCCTCGACGGCACGCTGTACGCTGTGGGAGGCCACAACGAAGTAGACCTTAGTTCGGTGGAGCGGTACGACCCGGCGTTGGATGCGTGGGAGGCGGTGGCGCCGATGGCGGCGGCGCGGCACACCCCCGGCGCGGCGGTGCTCGACGGCAAGCTGTACGCTGCTGGTTCTGAGGGCTACGACGATCGCCTCACCTCGGTCGAGCGGTACAACGCGTCTACGAATGCGTGGGAGGCGGTGGCGCCGATGGGGACGGGGCGTCACGATCCCGGCATGGCGGTGCTCGACGGCAAGCTGTATGCTATCGGCGGGTTCGACGATGGCTCGCTCAGCTCAGTCGAGCGGTACGATCCGGCGTTGGATGCGTGGGAGGAGGTGGCGCCGATGTCGACGGCTCGAGACGAGTTCGCGGTAGCGGTGCTTGACGGCAAGCTGTACGCTGTGGGCGGCGACTCCCGTGTCGGCAGCCTCAGCTCAGTCGAACGGTACGATCCGGCGCTGAATGCGTGGGAGACGGTGGCGCCGATGGGGGCGGGGCGGATCGGCTGCATTGCCCTGGTGTAAGTTGATTCAGCCACGCGCGGGCAGGGGGGGCGCTCACGGCTCAGCAGGGCTGAGCACCTGTGAGGGTGAGGCGGTGCTCAAAAGTTCATGAAGCCGTATGCCTATATTAACTCAGTTTGGCCGCGGATGCGCGCGACGCTTGATGCGCGTTTGTGACTGCTCTTCCTTTTTACGTACATGCCACCATCTCCCCTGTGAGCGCACAGCGGGCCGCGGGGCCCTAAGATCGACACTCGAGGAAGAGGTGCGCGCCGGCCGCGCGGGGGGACGCCGCTCCAGCCTCCGCCCCTCTCTCTCTCCATGCTCGCTGACTGCTCTCTCTGATATGATGCACATCACACCACATTGTTGGGTGACGCTCCCTCTCTGGGGCCCTATGTCTGCTGGCTCTGAGGCGGGGTCAGTGGTGGTATCGGCAGCGCCCCACCGCTCGGCGCTCGGCTGCACCGCCGGCGCCATCGGCAGCGCCACCGCTCGCAGCGGCGCGGCGGCGGGGGTGCGCGGCTGCTGCGCGGCTGGCGAGCCTGGCTGGGGGGAGGCCTCCGCCTCTCCGCCCGACTGGCCGCCGCCCCTCCCTCTCTCGCCGTCGCCCGGACTCAGCTCGAGCGCGACCGTCGAGATGTTCCACGGCGCAGGGCCGGCGCCGCGGCCCGCGCTTGTCTGCGGCGGGCGAGAAGGAGAAGGCGCCGGCCGGGTCCTAGAGTAGGGGCTCCTCATGGACGCGTCACAGAGGGCTCGGGAGGAGGGCTCGGAGCAGGGCCGCCGGCCGACCCACCTCGCGGCTGCTCGAGCCGACCCGCAGGACCACCGCGAGCTCTGCGAGGTCGCCGGTCGAGAGCCGCAGCCGGCGGGCGACCTTGGGAAAGGAAAGGAGTGAGGGGGCGAAGAGAGAGGAAGAAGAGGAATCCGGGGCGAAGGAGGTGCGCGGGGAGGTGTGTGTAGAGAAGATACGAGGGAGTCTGCGACCTTCCACAGCGCCGCCGCCGTGAGCAGCTTGACGAGCGGATGATGGAGAGGCCGCCGAGGCGGCGGAACAACATAGCTGAAAAACCCGCATAGTCGGTTGAAATCCGCAAAGTCTCTTTTTCACCCGTTTCGCACCGGCCCCGCCGTGTGTGCAGGCTGTCCGCGACGTGTGACAGTGACTCCAACGTCGTCGGGTAGCCTGACGCACCGCCCGGTGTCACCACTCCATCCCGCTTCAACCCGGGCGCGCGTGCAGCTGACGAGAGCCAGTCCAAACCGCCGATAGTCGGCTGTACTGCCGCGCCTTGGCCTAGGCGCACAAGCCCGGACGGCGCATTGCCAGCTCTCGCTTCGGAAGGTTGTCGGGTGAACATAAGAGGCCCGTTATGATGGACTGCGAGTGGGCATAATCTGCATTGCTCTCAAGCTAGGCGTGGGTCATGCTGTCGGATTGGCGCCTGAGCCGTGAGCGGGACGCGCACACGCGCTGCCCCGACATGGGCCCCCGCTCCGCGTCTCGCCTCGCGGGTCTCCGGCGCTCGCTTCGCAACGGCCAGGCGCGCTTTGAGCGGGCGAGAAAGGTGGTACTCCCGCCCTTCTCGTGCGCCGATTCTAGAGGAGCCCTACCCGGCCTGCACGCACGCGCACACTACTGGTTGATCTCGGGTGCCCCATGTGCGCACGCCGTTCGCCTTATGTGGCCTGTCTAGTGGATACGGCCCAGGCAGTAGTGTGTGCATTGAGCTCTCCACAGGCTAGCCCTTCACTTGGGCCCGACCCACGCTGTGTGGGCTATCCTGCTTGCACACCGGTGTGTGCACACTTTTACGTGCGAAGTAAAAGTGTGCGGCTCCCTGTGCTGCTTCAAACGCGGCCCTCTCCGCCCGGCGTGACAGGGCCACTGGTGTGGCTCGATCTTCATCTTAGGATGCTGCGCTGGCCTCTGGCACACCCAGCAGCGCTCGCGTCGCAGCTACCACCGAGTGGCACTCCGAACAGCATCGCACACCAGCATGGGATCCCGGCGGGATCCGGTAAAAGTGTGCACCCTCCCATAGGCTGTGTGTAGCAATGGCATACTGTGAGAGCACAGCTGCCCGTGCGCGTCGAGCTGCGCCGCGGCTGCAGCGGCATCGAAGCGCCAGAAGGGCCATTTGAGGACCACAGAGGCTCGCCACCAGCGCACAGTTGATGACGCCCACGGGGATGGCATCGCGCACACCCGCACTACGCTCCGGTGGCGCAGAGGGAGCTGGGCATGGCCTTTGCTGCTGCGCCTGCTGCGCCATCACCGCCACTGCCGAGGCTATGCTGCGCGTTGACACTCGCGCTGCCGATTGCTGCCAATCGCGCGGCGTGAGAACAGCATCGCGGCCGCGCGAGCCGGCTTGTGCATATTGCACCGTGGCAGCGGGCTGCGTGCCAGCACCGCCGCGAGGCGTTTGAGCACCGCGTGACGACGCGCGCAGGGCCCTCCCACCCTAGGGCAACCTTATCGGCCATCGGCGGCCCGGGATGAAGCATGATCGTGTCGCTGTCACGCCGACGACAAGCCTCGCACACACACCCTAATATCGGGCAGCGATCAACTTTCGGATCTCGTCGGAGGACCCACGCTTTCACAGTCAGAGTCACGCAGCGCTCTTTTGATTTCGCCTTTTCCTTTTCAGCAACCCAAACACACTACGACGGGCCGCCCAACACACTACGACGGGAAACCGTTGCATCCAGCAGCAGCGAGCGAGTGGCACACGCACACAGACCCCACGCACACTATGCGCGCCAAGCGCACCACCACCGACACACAGAAACGGATACCCCGCCGCACGGCTGAGTCGACGGGCAGTAGGCAGTGCGCCTCGACACCAGGCTGCGAGTGGCGCCGGCTCACATTCGCCACGGCCACCGCGCGCCCGCTCCACACACAACTTGCTGTCCGCTGGACCCGGCGCGCTGGCACACCGCATGCGACACCGGCACACTGGCACACCGGCATCGTTCCTGCCGCACGCGCTGATCCGGCGAGCGCGCGAGCGCGGCACGGCGCGTCTGGACAACGGGCGCAAGCCGTAGCGCGCCGGCTCTGCCGGATGCACACCAATCACTTTGCAGCTGCAGCGCCGCGCCTCGAGAGGTGTTCAGTCCCGAACTGCGCGCCGAATACGGTGACGACGCGGGTCTGATGACCACCGGCCAGCACCCGTCCGGGCCGTGACTGCCTCCTCCCGTCAGCAGCGCCGCGCGCCGCTCGTGCCGCGCGAGAAGGTGTTCAGTCAACGGCGGGCGCCTCGCCAGCACTGCTGGCGCACCCGTCAAAATGTGCGCACACCTCGCCATCTCCGCCGCCTCCGAGGCCACCGGCGCCATGAGTGGTGTCTGCGCCGTCGCCGTGGGGGCCTTGTCGCCGTGGGGGCCTTGGCCGGCTTGATTGGCCTCAAAGTCAGCTTTGCCGCCCCGCCGCGAGCGCCGAAAAAGCGTCAACCGCGCGACGGCGTGACGGAGAGAGAGCGACCGCGCTGCTTCTGCGAGCCGCTAGGAGCCGAGCCGATGTCTATCCGAAGCCGTCTGCCGCGCGCGTCGGTCGCGAAGGGCCCGCCGGGGATCAGTTTCCACTCCTCTGAGGCTGCCGATCACCTAAACTGCACCCGTGTGTCGACGGGGCACTGGTGTGGAACCGGGCTCAAAGAAGCGCATTTGACCGTGCGGGTTTCTTTAGCTAGGTTGTTGAACTGCGCCGAGCACACTGCATCGTAGAGCGCGCTTTGCTCTGCCGCAGCGATGTCCAGACACGTCTCCTCGGTGATCCAGGGGGCGACAAGCTCGTCGAGCGCCGCGAGGCACGATTCGACATTGAGAGGTGGCGGCGGCGGCAGTGGTGGCAACGGGGCCGTCGGCGGGCTTGTCGGTGGGCGCGGCGGTGCTGTGTAGCAGGCACTACTCCCGCAAACACTCCCGGCATCGTAGGCGCCCAAAAGAGACGCCGCGACCGAGCAGACGTCGGTCATGTACCCGGTGAACAGGGCGGCGATGGCAGGGTCGCCACATCCCACGTGGTAGATGCGATCCAGCCAAACCAACGAGGCTGTGT